GAAATTGGCAATGCAATGGAGCGCAATAAAAAGCTCGAACAAATATTTGTCACGATGACGCAAATCCATTCGCAATTCGATCGAGAGTTGTTACTTCGTTAAAATATCGTACTGTCATCGATGGTTGTATGTGGGCGATAAGAGTGTGCAGGTCTAAACACCTAGACCTTAACATCTAACGACGAAGTTTCTCTGGAAAAATCACAGATTTTGATATGGCCATTTTTGTGCACAAGAGCTTCTTCTGGAGTTTCTATAGTTATTTCGTAGTTTGACTCATGCAGTTTCACAAGGCTTATTTTGTTCTCTTTGATGATGAGCTTTTTTTGTAAATAATCAAGTAACAAATCATAAGAGAAGATAGTTTTTCCTGGGCCGGTTGGGGCTTTACATTTACATCTGATAAGTTTTCGATTGACCACAAAAAGATTGAGGACAATCTTCTGTACACCAAAATGAGACCACTATTGTGACATTTATGAGAGCCACAACTTTTCCGCGTGTTATAAAATTTTTACTGGAACTTTAAGTGATGCTTTGCACATCACTTTGCAGAGCATCTAGTGTAAAGTTTATGCACCAGAAGCATATGCGTAGGGTAAACATGAAGCACTTACAGGATAAGAGAAACGTGCAATAAATCGGCTTTTCCCCGCAGTACGTGAAAACTTTTTGCGTTTCCATCCATTAACATGGAATATCTCTTCAAAAACAAACAAAACACAGTGAACAAATCATTTATTTGTTCTTGAGCAAGATCTATAAAAGCAATCGAATGAAGAGGTACAATCACAATTGTTGAACAATATCCTCAAAAATGTTGTCGACTCTGCTCGAAAAAATCGGGTGAATGTCACCATTCATAGTATCGCTCATACCAGTACTTTCAAAGCACTAGGATCCTTTTGAAGTATGTTGACGGAGCTTTGTTGATTTTTCGATCACTAGTACACTCAGAATTACCGAGAATATGTTAGAGCATAAAAAGACGGTCTACTCAATCACGCTATAGTAACAATTGATGTTTGCAAAAACGTCTTTCAAACTTAGGTTAACCTAAAAAGTTGAAGCTTTCAAATGGGAACGAAACTTGAATGTAGAGAGTCATCAACGCTACTAGGCAGCAGCAAACACTGACAAAATCCTAAGTGAACAAGGTGACGTTCTGATGAACAAAATCTTCGCTTGTTCAATTATTCGCAGTCCAGATTAAAAACAAAAAAAAAAATCACATGAAAAGAACAAGCAAGAAAATTCCACTTCTGCTAGAAATTACGGCTTTTGTCGAGATTCTCTGAGAAAGTTATGATAGAAAAAAATTGTGTAGTGTATTTTGCATCAATTAGGTGACAAATGCTGATATAAAATAGGAGGCGCAACTAGACTCTCATTTTATAATGAAATAAATAATTAAAAATAAAAAAAATAAACGATTTTATAAATGCATGTATTGAAATCAATAAATATCTGCTTATGCGTCAATTAACAAAAGTTCAAGGAACAATTATGTCAATTTAGAGGAAATTCTGTATCTGTTTCCGTCAGTTGAGAAGAGATGATAACGAAGCAGGCCAACTCCAGTTCGCACGCTGTCGCTATAACGTGGGCTGAACGAACAGAGCCTCAGATGGAAGTGTGCTTCTTCATTACTATGTCATTTCGGACATCATATCACAGAACTAGATTTCTGTTCAAAAGCACTTACCGTCAATGAATGTAGAAAGCCGAAGAATGTCTGAATAAGTTTTGCTTCTGAACCTCGTTTCGGTTTCAAGAGCATCAGTAGTATTACAATTATGCATTGACAGAGAGCAGTTAGTCATATGATCAACATACTGATATTTTCGTGGATACTATTCACAAATTCATAGAACATCGGTTTCAAAGCACATCGGTTTATTGTGATGGATTTCTCATATATCTTATACGCGTGTGAACTTTTAGCTGTATTATATTGAAGGATGAAAATAGTGGTTTGACACCGGTGGAAATCTACACATCAAAGCCAGAAGTGTTCTCGGACGTAGTGCTGGAAGTGTATCAACTGTGTAGCGATGCATCATGTATTTGGCTTCATTCGTAACATCATAAAAGTGATTGAGTACGTCCCTTGCTTATACAATGACTTGCCATCACTTATCAATGTATCAAGTCCCTGTTTTGACTCTCTCTCATACATTTCGGGCACCATTTTGCGAACTCGGAGAGATATTGAAGTGCTACTCGGGACGTGAATTCGAATTAACAACTGAACCTGTGTCTATTGAAGGTCATCTCGTCTATACTACACGCATTACTTCGAATAAACTAAAACTCATAGGACCGAAAAGAAAGATATGCGTAGCTTAAGAACTGGAGAGAAAACGAACTATTGGAGGTAATTATAGAACTAGAAGCAAAAGTTTGAAAGATTGCATTATATGTGAGAATGATTAAAAATTCACTAAACATAGTGTGATTAACAGATTTTATGAAAATACCATAAGATTTCCTAAGACTGAATATCGATTATTCTAGGCATTGATTGAATAATTCCGTGGTTTACTTTTGTTCAGCAAACACGAGGCTGTTAATAGACATTTATTATGTACAAATCAGTACAATAGAGTTCGTATAAGCGGCTAACGTTTCGGCAAGTTCGCCTTCATCAGAGCCTGAAGTAGGCAAATTGACGTGCAATCTACCTATATGAACACTTTTTGCAACCAAATAAGATGAAACCTGGACGAAATCGTAGGAGTTAAAACGCGTAGTGATCAGTTTTTGTTAAATACTCGCTGTATTTTGATGTGTACCACTCCACCAGTCAATATCTAGACCAGCCGCACCGAGTTTTACGAGGGCAAAGAATGTGTTCTTCGAGGATTCACAAAAATCTATCCAAGATGTGGCGTGAAATCACGAGTAATTACGAGACATTCATTTTTTCGCTACAGTACCGGATTTTTCGCAAACATCCAAAAAGCTTCGAGGGTTTTGCGAGCTGAAGTTTTTCGTTCTTGTGCAAAGATGGATATTTCTACCTCATAGTTTACCTCTCTGTGCATCTGTTCCCTATGCATACCTGGTGGTGTTTTCAAATCCATTATATCTCTGTTGTTTAGGTTCTCTTTGATACGGACACAGAGGGGCCTTCCTGTTTTGCCGATATATTCACTGTCGCACGTTCTACAAGAGATTAGGGAGACTGCACCAATGCTCGTGCAAGCACCGTCTCCACCGTTATGCGTGCTTTCGTTCCATACAGACGGTCGTATGAGCGGTTGCGAGCTAGTTGGCTCTTTAGAATATTCGGTGATTTCTCAATACGTCAACGATCGAAGATCAAAGACGCCGTTCTACACTCCAGGATATCGAAAATAAGGTGGGCTGGACACGTGATGCGCTTCAACGACAACTGATGGACGAGAGCCGTTGCCGATTGGATTCCTTGCGACATCAAGCGCTCTACAGGAAGACCACCGACCCGGTCCGATTTCTTCACGAAAGGCATAGAAGAAAGATATGATGCTCAGTGAATCCCTAGAGCGAGGAGGATCCACTGAGCTTCTCTTGCACGCGATAGGGAAAAATGGAAGTGTTGTTGGTACCCGCTCGAGTCTTTTGATCGGTCATCAACGGAGCGACAGGTGATACAGGTGAATTCAATAGTCGTTACCGATTTCTTCAAGTCTACCGTTTACATCTCGCGGATATTCAAATGCTCTTGGAGCGTCTATGTAACACGCGTCCAAACAGCGCATACGTGATGGAGTCATTCGACGTGACCGGATTTTTACACCAAAGTGTCGAATGACTCTGCATTGCAAGCCACCTACGAGCTCTTTATGAAACACCAGGAAGCGATGAACATATATGGCTTAACAGTACAGCAGCTCATGGTTCTTCTGAAAGAGTGCCTGAACTGCTTAGTCTTCCGATGGTCCGGAAAGTATTTTGCACAAATTAGAGGGTTGGCAATGGGCAGCGACTGGAGCCTAGTCTAGATATTGCCTTCTTATCTAGAGTAGAAGCCAACGTGAACCATCTCCGGTCATTACTCTTCTGTAGATTTACGGACGATTGTTCGGTTTTCTGCTCCACTCAAGAAGAAATGGCAGATGTTTTAGATTGTTGAATGAGTAGTCAAAGTGCACAAAGTGTACCCTTGAGTTCCCAAAAAGTAACTGGCTTCCTTCCCTCAACTTGCAAATTATTAACTTTTCTCCGATAATGCTTCATTACGTTACCTTACGAAGTGGTACCGGAAGCCAGGTAGCATAAAAATCTTGGTTCATTACCTCTCCTCTCAGTCCCTTCCCTACATATAAAGAGGCTCCTAAAGGGAATAGAGGTCGATCCTTGAATCTGGCTCGGGATATAGCCATTTCCAATGGCTACTGAACTGTAACTCCTCGGTATAGGTTTAGAGGGAATAATGCATCCCTAGACGACAACTCCAACGAAAGTAAGGTGTCGTTAATTCTCCATTTATTTTCAAACGAGACCAATATAGCTATAAGCGTTGTTCGAAAAGGGCAACTTGGAGAAATCGGTAACCGTTATTGAAATGCCACCGAACAATATAATGAGTCAACTACTTCGCAACCGCATATACGACCGTCTGCGTGAAACGAAAGTACGCATGTGTCCCAACGATGGAGACGGTGATTCCATGAGCATGGGTACCACAGGAACGAAAAAACTGCAACGGGTAAAATCCTCGCAGCTCTTTTTGCATTTATAACAAAAATTTAGTAATGGGTGGAAAAGATGAATGCCTTGTAATCACTCAAGATTTTGCGCCATATCTTCGATCGATTTTTGTGGATCTGAAACAAACACATTCGTAATACCCGCTACGACTGGTCATATTGACAAGTGGACTAGTAAACAACAAAAGACGGTGAGTATCTAGTAAAAGCTGATTAATCAATCGGATATCATTCTATTTGACCGCCTATTGCGGTGTTATGATGTTTCAATAAACCCTATGATGTAGAGTGGTGTGCAAAAACGTTTGCGTCAGCTGGGATTCGAACCCAGATCCTACTATTTCCGGGAGCATGTGCTGAAACCGTTGCACCGCTGACGCTCGTTTCGCACTCCACTCTTTTTACAAGCTCTTGAAAACTCTTTTTTCTCTTAAAAAGCTGAATACTATATGTTTCAACTTCTATGTTTTCGTTCAGGTTTCATCTTATCTGGTTGTGAAATGTCATATGTGGATTGCACGTCAATTTTGCTCTTCCAGGCTCTGACGAAGGCGAACTGCCGAAACGGTAACCACTCATACGAACTCTACTGTACTAATTTTGTACAAAGTAAACGTGTAGTGACAATCTCGTGCTTACTGAACAGAAGAAGAAAGTCACGAAATTATAAGAATTCTCAAAGTACGATCCACAAAGTGAAGAGCAGACTAATATTTGACGTGTCTACGAGGACTTACATCACAAAAAACAACTGCTGTGGCACTCAGTTCAGGTCATTGCAAGAAATGTTGGTCACAACCATTTCCTCTCAAAACTATGATTTCATTTAAGCTTATGAATGTGAAAAACACTCCAAGAATAATTCTCGCGTAATTCGCCATAAGATTTCCCATTTTTATCACTCATCGAATTGCCTGAGAAGTAATCAACTAACCATTATTCGACTCCACTGCACACCAGGACTGTTCAATGAGCTGTACTCGTCACTTAGAGATGCTAGCCACTTTGCATTTTTTTTATTACGACTTATTTTGATTGTCCGCTTAGCAAAACCATGGCTACTGGTGGCTTGTTGGACCTACCTAGTCAAATAGGTTACATTGTTCTTTGCTCAAATAGTACTACTGAGGTGAGCGTCTGATACACGCTGACGATGTTAACATAGAGGTATAACGAACCACGATAAGATATTAAACTTGTTAAAACTAAACAACGAAGTTCTAGAATAAACTTTTTAGAAAGCACTCGACAAAATTAGCAGCTTCATGTAATCAATAAAAAGCCGCAAGCCATCGACTGTGAAACGACTCAGACAACATATCGTTTTTCTGAGTCCTATCATTTTTTAGCCCCTCTTTCCTCTATGGGGAGCGTGGCTCTGAAAATAGCGATACCGTCGAAACGTACGTAAGCCAGTGACCATACCAAACCATATCGAAAAGACTCAAGAGAAACCTATCAAAATATACTAAACGATAACTTTTGTAACTATCCAATATTACCATGCATGTAACTACGACTCTGAGACGAGGAGGCGTGTACTTAACAAGCTCACGCCTCAATGAAAGAAAATTTTGAAGATTGTATCGAATCAAATGCTCTACAGTTTCTTTTTTCTTCGTTACTGTACTACTGCAGGATGACTGTAACATCACATCAGCACATCTTTACCCTCATTTTGATGAGAAGTACAGGAACGTGAAAAGATTCCGCGTACCACACCTTCCAAAGCCACTCTGTCTAAATCGCCTAGTTTTTTTCCCATACAAAGAATCCGATCCAAAGGAGCGAACATCCAGGCTCTGAAATCAGCGCTGGCGCCGAATCGTCAGCCAACGAGCTGTACTGTTAGCGCTATAAATACACCTACGATTACCAATCTCGCGTCGGCTAACAGAGATAAGTACCTGGTACTATGGAAAACTTGTTAACTCACAATCACCAGACAAACCACGTGTGAGAAAACCGTCAAACCATCAACAAATGTATCAATTCCCATATTCATTTCTTCTTTATGTCATCGAATCAGAAAACGTTTATGTCACATACGTCTTTATTTCAGCACAACACAATTGAACAAAACAACACATGAAGGAACACGAGATGGTCCCAAGATCGACAATATTGGCATGAAATTTATTCCTTCTCACCAGCGGCCTTCTTGGGAAGAAGCACAGCTTGAATGTTCGGCAAAACACCACCTTGTGCGATCGTGACGCCAGAGAGCAGCTTGTTCAGCTCCTCGTCGTTGCGAACGGCCAGCTGAAGATGGCGTGGGTTGATGCGGGTTTTCTTGTTGTCCCTTGCGGCATTTCCAGCTAATTCCAGTACTTCAGCGGCCAAATACTCTAGTACAGCAGCCAAATAGACGGGCGCACCACCACCGATTCGAGCAGCATAGTTGCCCTTTCGCAGCATTCGGTGGAGCGACCCACTGGGAATTGGAGTCCTGCGCGAGCAGAACGGGATTTAGCCTTCCCGCCTGACTTCGCTTTTCCGCCTTTACCACGACCTGACATAGCTTGAATAGACCACAACAGCGAGCGATATTATTCAAGCGTTCTCTTAGCATATGAACGTCACGCAATAGCTTTGCCCCGCCTACCATAAGTGGGCGGGGCAAAGCATTCGCAGCGACGCATTTTATTGCTGCGAGAGCAGAGGTGACCATTGGTTAGTCCAACAATGCCGCCAAAGCCGTCAGCTAAAGGAGCCAAGAAGGCCGCCAAGAGTCAGAAGGCCAGCCGTAGCAGCGACAAGAAGAAGAAGCATCGTCGAAAGGAAAGCTATTCTGTCTATATCTATCGTGTCCTGAAGCAGGTCCATCCCGACACAGGCGTCTCCTCTAAGGCCATGTCCATCATGAACTCGTTCGTCAATGATGTTTTCGAGCGTATTGCTGCTGAAGCATCGCGTCTTGCTCAGTACAACAAACGATCCACAATCTCGTCCCGTGAGATCCAGACGGCCGTTCGCCTCATTCTGCCCGGAGAGCTCGCCAAACATGCCGTGTCTGAGGGTACGAAGGCTGTCACTAAGTACACATCAAGCAAATAATCATTCACTGGTTTTGTAACCGTGCGTGTTTTTTTTTTTTGTATCGTGCACTACTTTAAACATTGTGTATCTGCTGGTGTTTGTGGTATATTGGTCGAAGTAAATCTTGTTGAATAAAGTTGACTCAATTGTGTAGAACGGACAAATCAAGGCCTGTCTACCACATTTATCGAGTTAGTGAACAAATGTGTAAGCTGAAGTGATAGAAGATGACTCCAACTGAGATACCCTCGTATAGTTAGGAAGAGTGTCCCAGAAATCCTAGTGGGACACGCGGTCTCAGCACCAAGAGTCCAAGGGATACGTGGCTCGTTTTTGCGACTGGATAAGTGTCGGGTGAAACCCCGAAACCACTGCGCTATCCCTTGTGCCTTAAAGTGAAAAGAGCGTTGACCCTACTGCCATGGGTTAAGCGACGAATAGAAAGCTTTCTGAAACCCCAATAGCGTCCTGACAACAACCGAGGTCTCCCTCCGCCTTGCACATCGCTTCTAGATAGTTCCCCGAACGACGAGCAACGGCTAGCGAACGCTCGCTGCCGCTGAGGTCGCCACTCTGGGCCCCCGGTCGATGGCCGAGAAACGCGGTGTTCGCCGGTGTCGCACGCAATCCCTCGAGTTCCCCCTCTCGGCCTCCAATCGATCGCTGGGACGCGCTGCGTCTGCGCAGCGGCGTTTGATCAATCGGCGTGTATGGGGGCGCCGGATGTTCTCCGAGGTCCCCGACTTTGCCGTCCGTCCCTTTTGTGTCCTGTCCGATGCAAGTTCTTGTTCATTTTTGTGGATCAATTTTGAGTTCAATATGCCTGATAATCATTTCTTGAGCCACGCATGTCAGTGGTTTGTCAATGAGGGCTGACTTGTGGAGCCCGATACACGTGTTTCGATCTTGCGATCTCGTCAGTCAGGCAGTTACCACTGACATGCGTGACTCAAGAAATGATTATCAGGCATATTGAATATTTGAGCTGTGGTCTTAAGAGAACACTCGAATCGAAAGACATGACATTTTTGAGTAGTAGGTGAACTGCATGCATTTCAGCATGAGCTCCCGGTAGGGCACTCTTTGTCTTTGCAATTTATTTCGTGCTTATATCTCTGCAAGTGCCGAGAAGGCTTCGTTCGGTCATTGGGGGCTTGGTCGTACGCAGGGGGCGCTGACGACCAGATATCTCGCGCGAGTCGCACGATTTGAGCGGCCCAAGCCGAAGAAGAACGACCCCGTTGATAAGAGACGCTTAGGAGTCGTATAGAAATGATTTATCGCACGTTTATCGAGCATCCGATCATTAGTCGTTTGCCGCATGTTCTGCCCCTGATTACGGGAGTACTTCGTATATAAGTGATTTTTGGAACTAATATGAAATGTTTAAATAGTTTTAAAGTGTCGAAATCGATATTAGTTTGCATGTAATAGGTTATTAAAGCTGTTCCTCTCTTACTGTAATTGTTGTGTGCTCTGCATAGACCTAAGAGATCTGTATGATAAGCAAAAATCCAGCTTCAGATGGGAGTGAACCCGCCTCTCATCCATGCCGCGGACGCTTGCTACCACTACGCCACCAGGGCCACCCCGCATACTCTACCACTCATTCTAAGATCTCCCTATCATAGCTGCCAGCCAACAACCGTTAACAGGTTTGGTCGGATAGGCAGTATCGCTCTATAAGCTTAGTTAAGCTGACAGCCATTGTACTTATGTGAATTCAAGATTTCTCAAGTAGTGGTTGCACGCGTCCCCCAGTATGGATGAAATGCGGGTTCAACCCCGTCTGAGGTCGAACTTTTGCTCACCAATCGTATCTATTCAAAGCATCATGACACTGCGAAATAGCGAGTAAAAACATTAGTAATCTTGGAATTGTTTTCCGTTCGTTTACGATGTCATCGATCGCGTTTGGAATACGTTCTACTTCCTCCAGTGAATCATATTTCCAGCTTTTTCCAGGAGATGGTCAAAGATCTTGTGATAAAATGCAGAGGTCTTCCGTATTCTTGTGATGAGAACTCACTAAGAAAGTTCTTGGGAGGTACGATAACTCGGATTTTTTTTTTTTTGGTTTTTCGGCTACTCTATCTGATTATGTGCTTAAGCTTTTTTTTCTTAATAAAGTAATTGCGTAAGTACCTGTCAAAGGTGCTCAATCGTTTGCAAAAAGATTCTACCACGGACGGGAGTTGAATCGACGTTTCACCTTTACTGTGATGCGACTGCATACCACCACTGCGTCCTACTATGGGTGAGACGCGGGTTCAATTCCCGCCCGAGATCATGCGTTTTGCATATCATTTAGTGCTTCTGGATGGGCACTCATAACATTATA